AGAAGGATATAATGCCCCCCTCAGATTGTACTGAGACTGGTAACCTGGAGGAGAGTACTGATACAGTACACACAGGAAACCTTGCCTGCATGCTGGAAAGGACAGGAGCCAAGATGCAGAGAAATGACTGGGAGGGCCTCCTCAGAGATATACTGGAGGCTGTGACTATGAGTAATACCTCGTTAGTAAATCTTACAAGTACCGTGCAAGGTTTGGAAGAGGAAGTCATGCGGATTCGTCACGATATACAAAGAATACGCGATGGAACGGCAGCATTAGAAGGCGGAGTTATCAATGTCGAGGACGACATGAAACCTGTACATAGAGAAGTGCGCCTTAACTCTCTGACCGTTCAACAACACGGAGCACGCACAGAGGACTTAGAACATAGACTCCGGCGTAGTGCTGGGCTAGAACCCCTGTATTGGAGGCGACAGGTTCAATAAAGAGAAGCTGTCACCTCCAAATGCTAATCACACATGAGGCTTGTTAGCTTCTGTGTGATAGCAATAAAGTTAAGTGAAAAAAAATAAAATATTAAATTTGAAAAAAAAATGATTAAAAATTATAAAATAAATTAAAACTATCCAAAAAGTAATAAATAATTAAAATGAAACATAAAAAGGTAATAAAAAGTAAAACATATCTAATAAAAAAATAAAAGAGTAAAAAATAGGAAAACATTTTTTAAAAAAAGCAAAAAATAATAAGATAAAAAAATAATATAAAAGATAATCAGATAACTCAGATTGGGTAATTATGGGAATGAAACGAGATTGGGAACCTCCGGCTCAGGTGGTGTGTGCTCCAATAAGATCATCGTACAGGTAAAGCCAGACTACATTACACCACCCCCCTGTCATAGTTCTGGTAAGACTACGCACCACATTTCCTTCACCAGCTCAGAGGAGCGGGAATCCACTGATACAAACACCCGGCACACTGCACCTGATTCCTCAACCATCACTCCAGGAACTCCACAAGTAAACCTCTGGGGGAACTCATCGGAGTCTTCTACACCAATCACCATACACGATGATTCTCCTCTTCATGAAGAAGCCATAGACCTGCTACCAGAGGACTCAAGGTCTGCTTCCTGAGACCAACCTCAGACTCCATAAGACTCCCTCAAACAATGCTGCTCTTATGAAAGCCTTTCACCCCGGCGATCATGCCACAGGATGTAAGGACTTCAATCTGGGAATGGACATGCCCCCTGTACAGAGAAGTCTGGGCTTACCATGTGACCTATTAAAAGACACCTTCACCTTTCATGTCAGCTCTGCAGACAAGCCACATACTAAACGTGGTATTCCCTGAGTGTCTCCCATCACCATACAAGGTGAATCCTTACTGAGACAGCTATCAGAGCAGGGGCGGAACTACTGCCGGTGCAGCCGGTGCGGCTGTACCGGGGCCTGAGGCTGTGGGGGGGCAGTGAGGTCCGGTCCTGGGCACCCCCCTTGGTGGAATATGGGGCAGTGCACTGTAGGATCCCTGGGGCCCTGCACTGCCGACGGGCTTCTCAGCAAGGGGGTGTGGTCCTGTGACTCACTGCTCCATCTCCTGCCCGCGTCTCTAGTAACAGGCAGCGGGGGAGGAGAAGTGTGTCACATGCCCCGCCCCCTGCACACGGTCTGAGTTTCTGCAAGGCTCTGGCCAGGTGAGTCTGAATGAAGAGCGGGGGGTGGGAGAGTCTAACTGCACACTGTGCTGAACATTACACTGTATTATAATCTATTTCTCTGATTAAATGATTAGACAGGGCCGCTGTTCTAGCAAAGTTTGTGACTACGTTAGAATGTGTAACCGGTGACGTGGTCACACATTTTAACGTAATCCCGCCCAGTGTTTCGCTGGTGGAATGTGTGACTGCCAATAGGTGAAGCATTCCAACGCTTTCTCAGCTGTTCCAGGGCAGATCGGCATTGCAGATGGTATGTGCAGGAGAACCGATCTGCCCTGGAACAGCCGATCTGTCCTGAAGTGTCACTTCTATCCGACTTTGTCAGTGCAGTGAAATGTGAGATCGCAGTCACAAAGTCGGATAGAAGTGACATTTCAGGACAGATCGGCTGTTCCAGGGCAGATCGGTTCTCCTGCACATACCATCTGCAATGCCGATCTGCCCTGGAACAGCTGAGAAAGCGTTGGAATGCTTCACCTATTGGCGGTCACACATTCCACCGCCAAAAAACTGGGTGGGTTTATGTTAAAATGTGTGACCACATCACCGGTCACACATTCCACTGCTGCAAAACCGGGCGGGATTACTCTAAAATGTAAGCCTTTGATAGAACACCGCCATCGATCAGTGTGATCCGCTCCCTTGGGAGGAGGCCCAAGATAAAATCTTGCACCAGGGCCCTTTGTTCATTACGCCCACCACTGTATCAGAGACTAAGATTGGGACGCTCCACTACCAACAGACAAACATTCAGGATGGAGGTCCTGGAAGCAATCTCTACATGCCTCAGATGGAATCCACATACCACGCTGCTACACTTCAACCTCCCTTGCTGCAAGTCAGAGAAGAGAGAGTCACATCTTCTGAGATGCATCTACTGAGGCCATAGCAGCTGTCACCTACCTCAAGGTGAGAGACCCCTCTAATCACACCCATGGGGGAGGGGGGGTCTCTGTTTGGGAAGGATAAGTTGGCACCTAAGCCTGAGCACACAATTCCTAGGCTTGGACTCTGTGGGTCTGTGCTAGCTGTAGAAGTTGCAGACTTCATACTGCGTGAGCGAGACATTCAGAGAGAGGACATCAAGTTCTACGCAGACAGCAAAGTTCCTCTGGGCGACATCTACAACCAGACAAAACGCTTCTATGTCTATGTCAGCCACCGTGTAGAAAGGATCAGGTGCAGGGCCCCGTATTCTCACCACTGGTGGCCCCCAGGGACAAAGGCAGCATTCCCTAGGGCCGTAGAGACATTAGGAGGTGAGGCTGGTTGCTGCGCAATCACCTGTGCCCGCCCCTGTTCCTCCCCTCTCCTGCCTGCGCCTCTCACAGCCTTTTATAAAACACAGGCAACAGCAAAGGCGGAGCTAAGGCGGGGCTACAGCTGTGTGCTTAAAGGGACCTCCACCTGGAATACAGTGAGCCAAGCTGAAAAGGTGAGTAATAACCTTTTCTGTGCCAGAACTGCTGCCCTGAGGACTTAACCCTTTCTGTGCCGGGATTGCTGCCCTTAGACCCTGAGGATTTAACCCTTTCTGTGCCTGAACTGGTGCCCTGAGTCCCTGTGGACTTAACTCTTTCTGTACTCGGATTTCTGCCCTGAGACCCTGTGGACTTAACCCTTTGTGTGCCAGAACTGCTGCCCTGAGACCCAATGGACTTAACCCTTTCTGTGCCAGATTGCTGCCCTTGGACCCTGTTGACTTAACCCTTTCTGTGCCAGATTCCTGCCCTTAGACACGGTTAACTTAACCCTTTATGTGCTGGGATTTCTGCCCTGAGACCCTGTGGACTTAACCTTTTATGTGCCAGAACTGCTGCCCTGAGACCCTGTGGACTTGCTGCCCTCAGACCCTGTCCATTTAATATCGCTGTGCCGGACTACACCCTGTGTGTTGACTTCTTAATAAAGAGACATTTCGCCAGAGGGTGCATAAAACTACTCTTGCAAATACCTGAAATACATTATACAGCAATGCAGAATAGTATATGAATTTGCTACATACTCTGTGCTGCTGCTCTGCTCCGGGGTGCCGGCCTGATGTCTCCAGTGGAGGGTCAACAAATGAGGATGTGATAAATGTTTATTATCTCTTCATCAATATAATCATTGGAGTGCTCAGTACAGATCACGTCCTGTCCATTCCCAAGATGAGGAGGTTGTAAATGTTCATTATCTCCTCATAAATGAATGAAGATTGGAGTGCTCAGTACTCATTACTCTGGTATATCACATGGAGTTGGGTTGATGATTGATCTCAGCCACCATACACATTTTAAAGAAATAATAATCACAGGGGGTCACTATTAAGCTCCCCCCCCAGTTTAGGAGATGGTCTGTCCTCCATGTCTAGATTGTGAATGAATGTCTGTAATCAGTGACTTGTCAGCCTCTGATGACAGCTCTTTGTTCACTCAGAAGAGTCTGGGGGACCTCCAGGGGCGTATTTACCGCGAGGCAAAGTAGGCGTTTGCCTAGGGCGGCACCTTCCTGGGGGGCGGCCGTAGTCAAACGCCTATGTTGTGAAGAGCAGGGGAGAGCCGGAGCCCGTCTGTGTGTAGGAGTGGAGGGCGGCTTGCCTGCTTGTGAAGAGGGTGGGAGGACGGATGGAGCCGGACAGCGCAGCATCGCTGGGCTGGGCGGGCTAGTAAGGTGCCGAGGGCGGCCGAAGCTTGGCTTGCCAAATACATAAATACACCACTGGGGACCTCTTGTGATAACTTCATGGTGACTTATAACAAAAGAGAGAATTCAGCCGAGGTGAGACTTACTGCCCTGGCCAGCTGGAAGAGGTTCTGTTCCACCGCATGCCTCACATCTGTGGCAGTGAAAGGGTTAAAGTCCACATTGAAGGTAAGTGTGCCATGCATGTAGGAGAGGACAAAGAGGGTACACAGGCAGCCAATGACACACTGGGGGGAATCTACTTATAACGGATGTCATCCAGGGGTAGCTATAGGTGACAGATGGTAGAGAAGGGGCACTGAGGACAAATGGCAGGCAGGGTGGTGAGGCTGGCACTGAGGAGGGGGGAATGGAATGATTTGTGATAAAGGATCACTATGACCATTGAGATCCATTATTGTGTCATCCAATGTTGTTCTGTGGAATAGAAGGGGTGGAGGTTGGGTATGGGTCTGGTGGTAATTGGGGCAGCTTCCCTCTCAATTACCCCAGTCATGCCTAATGATAGTAGAGGGAGGGTGGAATGTAAGGAAGAACAGACAGCCCCCATGCACACCCGCCAGTCTCTAGGCGCAGACCTAGGTCACCTTGTGGGTAATCCGGCTCTGTCTGTATGACTTGTCTTATTACAGCCAAATACACGTCATCGATGGCGTCTGGTAATCTGAGAGCTGAGCTGGAATGTTCCGTCTGTCTGAGCATTTATACAGATCCTGTAACCCTGAGATGTGGACACAACTTCTGCCGGGACTGTATTGGTCATGTGCTGGATACACAGGAGGGGTCTGGAGCATATTCTTGTCCTGAATGCAGAGACGAGTTCCAGGAGCGGCCTGCACTACAGAGGAACACAACACTGTATAACATTGTGGAGAATTTCCTGTCTGCTCAGCCAGATCAGGAGGAGGCCGGGGTCCTCTGTACTCAGTGTATTCACACTCCTGTACCTGCTGTGAAATCCTGTCTGCTGTGTGAAGCTTCTCTGTGTGACAACCACCTGAGAGACCACAGCAAGTCACCAGAACACGTCTTATGTGACCCCACCACTTCCCTGGAGAACAGGAAATGCTCCGTCCATAAGAAGATCCTGAAGTATTACTGCACTGAGGACTCTGCCTGTATCTGTGTGTCCTGCAGGCTGGATGGAGAACATCGAGGACATCAGGTGGAGACTCTGGATGAGGCCTCTGAGAAGAAGAAGAAGAAACTGAGGAATGTTCTGCAGAAGCTGATGACAGAGAGAGAGGAGACGGAGAAAAGAGTCCAGAGTCTGGAGGAACACAGGAGGAAAGTACAAGGAAAAGCAGCCGGTGAAACAGAGAGAGTCACTGCCCTGCTCAGAGACCTCAGGAGACGTCTGAAGGACCTGGAGAAGAGAGTCCTGAGTGAGATCTCCGGGCAGGCAGAGCGGACCTCCCTCTATGTGACGGATATGATCCGGGAGCTGGAAATAAAGAAGGACGAGCTGTCCAGGAAGATGCGTCACATTGAGGAGCTGTGTAACATGACGGATCCACTGACTGTCTTACAGGAATCAGACACAGGTGACTTGTGTGATACTGAGGATGGAGATGATGAGGACAGAGAGAGACATGATAGACTCCTCCATGATGGAGGGGATCTGGATGTGGCTGGGATTTCACACACATTACACACAGGTATATCTGATATCATGTCTGGGGTAAATGTACAGGAAGGTCCAGGCACACATGTCTATCCACATTCTAG